TTATGTTGCATATGCGATCTAACACAAGGCGCCAGTGATCTCTTTCTCTAATAATTAAAGATTGCAAATTTTTATCAATAGTTTTATTTGTTTTAAGCCTACGACTAGCTTTAAACCAATTACCAAAACACTTTAAATGTTCGGGTGAACTTTCATGCGACTTTATATATTCAGTAATATATTTCCAGTTGTTGATTCCAACAGTGGCTAATTATGATTTTTTTTTATCTGAATTTTATTATTCAACATTATTTTACAACGAACACAAAATACTTTATCAGAACTTGATGAATATAGTAATCAGTTTCGCTTATAAGATTCACCGTTATTTAATTTTCTGTACATTAATGATTTCGAAAAACAATGATTGTTATGATCTCGTGGAAATTCAATAACATTTGCTAGGTGAGATTATACATCAATTCCTTCATAAATTATGTGATCACAAATTTTAAAATTAAGGGAAACTGGCCATAGTGCAGGATTATTTATATCTATTTGAACGACGCTAGTGGTGGTAGAACTAGGAGACTGAGATGTTGTTTCAGGCGTTTCTTCCATTTTCTCGTCCAAAATAGAATTAATACCTACTAATGACAAAGGGCAAATTTTTTCAATTTTTTTTCAATTTTTTCGCTTTGCTTGAACTCTACTTGAAAATATTTCGTAAAAAACTTAGCAGACTTTTTATTTTCTCGTTTAAATTCAAATTGTCATTTTCGGTTTGCTGCACATGATGGTTTATTTGCAGACATGATGGACTTTTAAACTAATCAATTTAATACAAAAATAAGTTGTGCATAAATTTTTATAAGGCGATCGTTCTAAAGTTAATTAATTTTTCTATTGGCTAAACAAAAAATAAATTTTGAAACGCAACACGTTAATGTTTTCAATTCGCCAAAAAATGTATTACTTAATAACTTTTACGAACCAGATATGCATTTTTATTAATAGAAATAATTTTAATTTGCAATATTTTGAATTAGGAACTTTTAAATTCAAATATGATCATTAAATAATAACTTTGCGGTGATACACATAAATATAATGCCCCCTATTTTTCTTCAAAATACTGTTCATTAAAGTTTTATTAAATCATTCGCTTTTTAAAGCAGCCGTGGCGCAGTGGTAGCGCACTTGCCTCAGAAACGTAAGATCCGTGGCTCAAACCCCACCTCTGAGACATCGGTTGGGAAGGAGGCGTGAACTTCTTATTAAATGCTCTTCCGCGGTGCTCTGTGATAAGACCGTAAGGACTTCTTGGGGCAAATAAATCAACTTAAAAAAAAAAAAAAAAAAAATCACTCCAACACTTTATATAATTTTTTTATATAAAGTTAATCCTTTCTTTGATCCAAAGTAAGGAAATATTCTTAGCAAAAGACTTAAAAGCTAAAGACTGATGAAGTTATAATAAAAACCTTAAGGAGAAAAAAATAGCGACTTTTATAAACTAACCAACAAAACTTGCTAAAAATAGCAATATGTAAAAAAGGTATTAAATTCAAAAAAAAAAAGCGAAAAATAAATTTTTTGTTCTGCTTTTATTTTTTATATTGTTGTATATAATATTACTTGACCCTACTAGTTTATTTATTCCCAAGCTCATTTTTTTTCTAGCATCAAAAACTCAAACACTGTTTAATTAATATTTTTTAACACAAATTAACAGGAAACAATTTGTATCGTATGACAAAAAGAATTACAAATTTATGACAATCGCTGGTGTTGTTAATTAGACTCAGAGCCGTTCCTAAGAGGTCTTCCATGGTTGGGGGGGGGGGGGGGGGGAAGGGTGTAAGTATTTTTTTGACAACTAGAAACACTAAAAAGAAAAAAGGTTCTCAATATTTTCAATTTACCAACTATAGTCCAAGGTTAGACTCCTTCTCTTACTTCATTATATAAATAATTTGTTGTTGTATATAAACTTGATTTGATGAAAACACAAATTTATTCTATTCTTATAGAAATATCAACCGATTATTTAAAAGAGGCTCTTAAATTTTACTGCAATATCAAAAAATATCGGTGTGTTATGTAAAGCTAAACTTTAAAAAAAAAAAACTTCTTTTTTATTTGTGCAGACGTGATGCAGTGTTAGAGCGCTTGCTTTATAAACAGGAGATTCAGATTCGAAACGAACATTGGACATAGTTCGCGTCACGTTAAGGAAGGAGGCGTGAACTTCCTTGTTAAATTTACTTCCGCGGTGTTCTGTGACAAGACCGTTAGGACTTCTTGGGGCACCTAAATAACAAATAAATAAAAAATTTACTATTTATAATACAAACAGTAGACAAAAACATGCTAAAGAACCTTTTTAGTTTTCAATTTTAACGCTACCTTGATTTTGCAAATAGACAAAAACACGCCAAAAGAACTATTTAAGTTTTAAATTTTAACGCCCTCATAAAAAAAAGTTAATTTTTAGGACGTAGAAACAAAAATTCCTTTTTTTTATGAGGGAGGGGGAAGGACAGCCTCTGCCGTCCTTCCCCCTCCCGTTGCTACGGGTCTGGATTTAAAACCGAGGTTTTGTACAAACTCCAAAACTCTAAGTTTATTAATACATAAGTAATACAATCGAAACAAAAACTGAAATATCACTTCAATGGAGTATTTTAGTGTAAGTTTAGTAAAATGAAGCAAATTAAAAATTTGTATGCAATCAAGGTATCTTGTTTTCAAAATAAATTCCTGATAAAATGTCTTTACTGTAAAACTTAAAATCTCTTATTAAAGTTTGGAACCTTTGGAGCAGCTTCTCGTGCAAATTAAAGTCCGAATAAAGAAATTTACAGTAAAACTTATAATGTTGTACATCGTCTAGTAAAGTCTCGAACCTAGGCGCAGCTTCTCGTGCATATTTTATGTTTTTGGGTAAACTGGTATCATTGAAAGTTAAAACTTATAAATAATGATTTAAACTATTATCAACTGAAAAAAAATTAATGACTCCAGTCATGATTTTACCGTAAAAGAAATTAATGACTTAAATGATCATAATTTTGTAAGAAAATGATAAATTTATCATGCACGTACTAAGGGATTGGAGTAAGGTATAGAACATGTTGAGTGGTCAATGTTTAAAAAATTTGAGTTGAAAAGGTTACGGATAAAACATAAATAACAAAAGCATCTTTATAGCCTTATTTTAAAACCTAAAAATCTAGAGGTCTAAGAAGATAGCACTCACTTCGTGTTCGTGTATATATAAAATTCTGGTTATGGATGTCTCTCTCTCTTGAAATCAAATTTCAACATCGAAAATTTTGAAATACTCTATACTAACGCTACACATAAACTTCTATGTGTTCGATAGTATCTCTTATTATCAAACACAAAAATTATTAATAAATTAGTTTTATAAATAAACTTTTATAGGTGTTTAACATTCAAATAAATTTATTTAAAATTTTTGTAAAACAATTATGATAGTTTGTTTATTTTTATATATAATAAGTTTTAAAGTTAAAAATTAGGTTTTTATATATAATGAGTTTTAAAACTTACTTGCATATTGTTTGAGAGTTTTAAAATATAATAAATACCTTTTTTTATGTTTTAAGATTTTATTTTTGCCAAAAACAAAACAAAAAAACAAAATTTTAAAAGTATAAGAAATTTTATTTATAACAATAAGTAATAATTATAATTATTCAATTAGTAATAAGTAATAAATAATTTGGAAAAAGTAAGGAGTTAAGAATGCCCCTTTGCTCTACCGCTGCGACCTTAGGTATAAATGATAAGTTTCAAAACAGATCATTATAAGTGTCATATTTTGTATATGTTATACAAAATAAGAAAAATGGTTTTTGTAAATACTAACAATCTTCGCTCATCAAACTGTTCAAATAGAATTTTAAATACATCGCCGTTAAAGGCAACTAATAAGATATTGATGATTCTCCATTTTTGAGAATTTTTTCAAGCTCTTTGTTTAAAAATTATTGGACACCAATACAAAACTTTTTAATTAATTTTCAATGATTATATAAATGTCAGAAAAAACTAACATATAATATGTTAGTTTTTTTATTTGAGCCAACCTTAACATGATCCCACATTTTTTCATGAAAAAATGTTGGATTATGTTAAGGTTGAATAAAATACAAATTTATGATCAAACGGAATTTTTTTATTATAACTTTGATAGATGAACTTTGCAAATATTAAACACCTATAAAAAATAAAGTTCTTAGTGTTAATTGTTTCGTAAATATTTTTTTGGTTTTAAAACAATACCCATTTTGTCAAAAGCTAATGCACTAGTGGTCATTTCGGTAAATCTAATGCATTAGTGGTCATTTTGATAAATCTAATTTTAGCTCTACGGTTTGTTAATGTCACATATTATTATTTTTTTTTTTACATAGACTTGCAAAAAACCTGAATTTGCATTTTAGTATTTTTAAATAAGAAATACTGAAATTGGTCAACGGAAATCATCATCGAAGTAAGTATTTTTTTGAGCTTTTTTCAAAACCTTTCTCGTAAGATTTTTTAATAAGATATTTATATAAATAAAAACAGCCAAGTTGTTAGTTAATCATTGAAAGGAATATTTTCTGTAAGATAAACATTTTGTTTACTCGATAAAATGCCAAATATTACTGCATATGCAGTATTTTTCATGAAAATGAATGGTTTGAACAATTTAATTTTTAAGTTCTCAGAAAGACTTACTGTAAATTTATTTTTTTTAGTTACATTAAAGATAAAAATATCTGAACTATTATTTGCAGAAACTCACTTTTTTAAATCTTCGAATCAAAACTTAGTTGCCTTAGCTGAAAAGTTTTCCGAAAGTTTTAAGCAAAAATTTATGAAAAACACCGCTTAAAAAGGAACTATTTTCTATATATTAGGTATCCAGCGAAAATGTTTTAAACATCTAAAAAATGTATTAACACGTTTTAATACGTATTTTAGACGTGTTAATCACGTCTCAAGCCCTTTTCTTGTAGTTTCTGAAAATTCATTTTCGTCATTAATACTGTATGGCTACGGTGTGAACCAGGGTTAAGCGCGTTTAGTTGCTTCTTCGAGTCGGATTAGTCGAATCTGTCCCATCTAAATAAATTTTGAAGGTAGTTTAAATTGTTATCAACAATAAAAAGTATATATTTACTAATCGAAAAAATCAGACGCATTTTTTTAAAGATTTTCTCATTTCTTTTTTTCCACTAATATATGCCTTATTAAATTTTGCATTTTATATTGCATATAATAATGAGTATTTTACCATAATTATAAATTGCAATTGTAATATTTGTATACGCCATACAATACTATATGTTTCACTATAAATACAAATCATATGTATTTATATTGAAACATATAGTATTGTATGTATTATTTATAGTGAAACATATAGTATGTATAAATATATACAATTGTAAAGCATTTGTCAAATGCTTTACAATTGGATATATTTATACAAATGTGTATACCATAAATTTGAAAATATTTTAACGTATATTATATATGATTAAAATTCATATATTTATATTAAAATATTAAATATTCATATATTTATATTAAAATATTAAAATTCATATATTTATATCTATATATTATATAGATATAAATATATGAATTTTTTTACAGATATTTATAACCATTAATCATTAATGGTTATAAATATCACCATAAATGATTTATGACATTTATGATTATAAATTAATAATGTTAAAGTTATTATCTCTAGTTAAACAAATAAATAAAAATTAAGTTAATTAAAAAGTAATTTTCCATTTTGTTTTCAAAACTTCATTTTATAAAAATTTTAAAATTAAATCATATTAAACTTGCTTTAAAAATAATTATGACATAAAGATTACCAAAAATACTCTTTATTATAGTGTAAGAACTAGTCTTTTTATCCTTTTGAACCATAGCTTATCCTATTAAATCTAAATAATGATTTTATCATCAAAATAAAATATATTGTTAAACAATAAGAAATTTAAAGTATTATAAATTTGAATAATAATTTAAAATTCGTTTATTATGTTATTTATTATTATTGTTATTTATTATTATATTATTATAAACATTAATGGAATAAATAAAAAAATTAAATTTATAAAGAATAGTTGTTTATCCACAAATAAATAAAATTGTTTTAACTAAAAAATAATTTCTAATTTTCTGTTTTAAATTAATAAAATGTACAATTATTAAACTAGATACATCAACAATGAATATAGAAGTAGTTTCCACAACTTCATTTGATGATCAAAAACCAGGAACCTCTGGTCTTCGTAAACCAGTTTCAATATTTAAACAGCCTCATTACACTGAAAACTTTATTCAGGCTACTTTTAATGCTATTGGTGATAACCTTAGTGGAAAAACACTTGTGGTTGGTGGTGATGGTCGCCATTTTATGAAGGATGCGATTAACATCATTATTCAAATGGCAGCTGCAAATAAGGTTTCTGTTTTTTAATGAATAATTAATATATATATATATATATATATATATATATATATATATATATATATATATATATATATATATATATATATTATATGTATATATATACATGTATATATATGTATATATGTATATATATATATATATATATGTTTATATATGTATACATATGTTTATATATGCATGTATGTATATATATATATATATTTATATATGTATATATATATATATATATATATATATATATATATATATATATATATATATATATATATATATATATATATAAAATAAGCTTATATAACTTATATAAAATTATTCAATAGTGTTATTTTCCATTTTATGTTGCAATAATAAAGTTATGCAAATATTAAAAAAATAGTTTGTGCAATTTAAAATACCCACTAAACTAATGTAAACTCTATATCAAGTTTTCATAATAATATTCATAATAAATATTTGAATGCTCAAATGGGAATAAGCACTGACAAAGTTCTTTTAACTTCAAAGTTGAACAAAGTAAAATTGAAAATATTGGTTAAACTTTGGTTATGAAGTATAACAAGTAGTGCTATTCGTTTAATCAATAATACTGTTTGTTAAACCAAGAGTACTATTCATTAATCGAATAGTTTAAAGTAATACTATTTATTAAACAAATAGTATTACTTTAAATTCTCATTAACTCTAACCTCTAAATGTCCAAGAAAAATAGTTTGACTAAACAAATGTTTGAGTTAAGCCAAGTTAAACAATTGTTCTTGCTTTCAAGGAACTATAGAAAATAGTTTTAGTTAACAAAAGTTTGAGTTAACCAGTGTTTGACTGAGAATTTATTGTATTTGTTTAACAAATAGTATTCTCATCAAACTAATTATATTCTTATAAAACTTTGTCAGCAAATATACTATTTGCTATTTATAAAAATTCAGTTTAAAGTTCAAGAATCTGATTTCTTCTTTTTTTCTTTCATTTTAAGGATTGCTAAATAAATAATTCTTTAGACATTAGCAGTTTGTAAAATTATTTTTCAACATTATTCAGTTACTATAGTAACTACAACAACAACAACAAGCTATTTATTTTCCATTTATAATCATTATTACAATAGTAATAAAAATAATAATAATAATAGGGGAAGACAGGGAACATTCGACCACTTAGTTGGTTTTTATTAATTTACAAATGATTTTTTACCAAAAGCATTTAAATTTTTTTATTTACAATTTTTAAACATTTAAAATTTTTTATATTACAAGTAATGGTCTTAAATGTATATAAAATGTTGATTTTTGTTAAATCTACCACTGTTTTAAAAGTAAGCCTCAAAGTGGTCGAATGTACCCCACCGGTGGGGTGCATTCGACCACCTAGAGGGGTGCTTTCAAACGTATTATTATTAGCAAAGTAATAAGTCTATAAGCTTTCTTTCTTATAAATGTTTTATTGTGCAATAAAAACTTTCCACAAAATATTTAAAAACAAATAGTAATAGCTGTTTTACAACAAGATTTGCGAAGTTGTATTGAAATAAAAATAACTTTGCCGTTCTTTCCGTCTTTGTTGGAGTCACAGACTTTAAAAGCGTTTTTAAAGTCTGTGACTTAGGCAAGGGTCGCACATGTTCTGGAATCAGTTTTTAATTGTTAGAGTTATTCTAGTAGTTGCAGGAAGAATGTGTTTTATTAGTAGATGAAGAGTGGTAAATTATTTTGTAATGTTGTACCTATTACTCCTAGACTTTCACTTAGTTCTCCCATTAGAGTTCTATTTGTGACATATCTAGGCATGAATTCTTTTTGCGGCTTGTGGTTAAGACAGTGAATTATTGAAAATACTAGTAATTTTTTCTAATACCACATTTTCATTTCTTTTATTTCTATATGTTTTTGTTACATATTTTCGAGGTATCTAAAAGATAAGAGAAATAAATTATTGTGGTATTTTCAAGCACCGGTCAAATGTTCCCAAGCTAGGTAGGTCGAATATACCCCACATGTGTTATATATAAACAAACGCTGTTAAAAGCCGAGATCAATTTTTTAAAGTAAACCAAACACAAAGGTTTTTAACTCAAGATATCAAACAATAAAGAACAAAAAAGTTCCGGAGGTTAAATTGGAAAAGAGATTTGCTGCGGGTTATTTAAAACATAAAAAAATTACCTTTTGCATCAATAATTAGGTTTTTTTCTATATAAGTACTAATAATAATAAAGATGGATCGATATTTATTTTCTGCGATAGCTTATTAACAGACAAAACATGGATAAAAATTTTAAGTGGTATTTATTATTATGTCGGGGAATATTTGAAAACGTCGAATGTTCCCTGTCTTCCCCTACAATAATAATAACAACAATAAAAACAACTATAATAATAGTTATAAAAGTATAATAAGATAAAAATTAAAATTAAAGTTGTAATTATAATAAAGGACAAAAATAACAATAAATAAAACAAACTAAGTAGTAATAAATATTTTTACAGAAGTCTGATCAAAGAAGTGATACCATTTTTTAAATATAATATGACTAATAATAAGCATATAGACATACAACAAACATTAAAAAAATAAACATGTAAAAACAACAATTTGCAGGTAATAATAAAAAAAAAAGACAAGGTTATTCAAAAATAATAATATAAACTAATTTCAAGTGAACACCCAATAATAATAACTACATTGTATACATATGATAATAATAAGTACAATACATTCATAATGGCAATATTAAATAAATTGCTAATAGTCAGAATAATAATAAAAAAGTAATTATAATAATTAAATTAAATCAATATTATCTTGCATACAACAATCGTTTATACATACATAGTTACAGTTACAAACAGTTATTAACTGATGAACTTAACAACGATAACATAAAAACAACTATTGTTAAAAAATGATAAAGATTTCGTAAATGTAATAATCATAATTGTTATAATATAATAACAAAAATGTATTGCAAATATAATAAAGAAATAAATAGAATATAAACAGAAAAAAAAAGTGTAAAAGACAAAACAAAAAACTTACAACAAACAAAAAACATTACAAACAAGACATTAAATTAATGTTACCAAAAGTAAAAAAATTCATTAATGTAATAAAGCAAACTAAAAAAAATTAAATATTAAAAAATAAACATACACACATACATACATATGTATATACACACATATACATATGCATACAGAAATACACACACATACATATTCACATACACATGCACATACAAACATATACAATCTATATACTTGTGTATGTAACATCCATAGTTTAAAAAATGCTGTTTAAACAAGTTAAACAATTTAATGCTTCCTTCGGTTCTTTTTCTCACTCAAATTTTTACTTACATTCTTTTACTTACATTTTTTACTTACATTTTACTTACATTTTACTTACATTTTTTACTTACATTTTACTTACATTTTACTTACATTTTACTTACATTTACTTATTTTTTTTTACTTACATTTACTTACATTTTACTTACATTTTACTAACATTTACTTACATTTTACTTACATTTTACTTACATTTTACTTACATTTTATTTATTTTTTACTTACATTCACTTACATTCTTTTTACATTACATTAACTTTTAAATTTTCTTACTTTCTTTGTTGTTGTTGCTTTTCAATTTATTTAAGTTTTTTTAATTTTTTTTAATTCTTTTTCTTTTCTCTGCGTTCTTTACTTCAATTTTTTTTTTGTATTTCTTTTTGTTTTATTTATTTAGTATTTTCTTGTTTTTTTTCCCCAAAAATTTTCATTGAAACAGCTTTTTTCATTCTTTTTTCTTTTTTTTTTTTTTTTTCTATAAAACTTTCGTTAAAAAAAAGTGTTTGCCATTCTGGAAGCCACTCCAAAGCTTTAAAATCTATTTAACTGGTTGTTCTGATTTAGTTAATAGGTAAATTTACTGTGATGTACTTTATCCATTTAGTAAATCAAACTAAATATAACTTTAAAATATTATTGGCTTCCACGCAGAGATTTAAATTAGTTTAAATTCAAAAGCACTATTCAATAAAAATCTCCATACAGGAGAGCAAACGATCATATTTTTATTCAAAAAATAAATTTAGCGTGACTAATTTTATGATCTCTAATAAAAAAACTTAAACAAAAACTTTACTTCTAAGAATGGCCAAAAGAAATGCTACATTAAAAAATAAAATAAAAAACAAACAAACAAAAAATTAAAATAATAAAACTCATTGCGATGGAGCAAAAAACAATTACTATTTGTGATCATGATAATTTGAGCCCTGATACATAGATGATAATAAAATACAAAATGTACCATACAAATATAAATCAGAGATTTATAGAGATAGAGAATGGAATCAGGAGTAAAAATATGTGATAAAAAAAGGCAACCACAGCAGATGCTAACTTAACAATTGATTGGGTTTTGTTTGAGTTAGAATTTATTAGCCACTGCAGGCCCTAAGTTGTCCAAGAAGAAAGAATGCATTCAAAATTAGCTGTCCCTTCGATCAAAAAGTAATAACTTTTTATCATGTATGGAGTATACAGTTTTTTTTATAGCAAATAGAGCCACTAGGAAATATCATTGCCAAATAGAGCCAAATAGAGATGATGACATACTTAGTATAACTAAGGATACAATAACATTTTTAATAAATACAATAACATTTGAGAAATATTTTTTTATTATTAATATAGATAAAAAGCAATACAGGGTCAAAGATGGAGTTATGTAGTATTTTGAGTTTTTAATGACAGCTTTAATACTTTTTCAGATATACCACATGTAGCAAGCTTATAGAAAAGGTTAGCATCTGAGATTATCTAAAATCTATCATATGTTAAGAGCAATAGCCTTTGCCTCAATGCTTTTATCCAATGCACAATAGAATCTTTTGACTATAGTCAGGGGTGTGCACTCTGAATTTTGTCGAAACAAAGGGGCGACTAAAAGTAATCACTTTGTTAATGTTGGTTGCCTTTCAACATTTTGAG